GGGGGGGGGGGGGGGGGGGGGGGGGGCACGGTTCAGCTTTTCCGACGCAACGACGAACCATGCGAACCGCACCGACAACAACCACAGGAGGGAGGGGTTCGAGAAGTAATCGAACACGGATGGTTCGTTAAACCGATCAGGTTGTCATCACACCTCGTAGCGGCCGGCGACCACACACCCCTCCGGCCAGTCGAACGCCTTGCTCTCCTGAAACCCGGTCCTCCCCTTCGCGTACACGATCCTCAGGTCGAAGCTCTCCAGCTCTTCCTCCGTCTCCTCCTGAGCCTCCACCCCCTCGTCCCCGAACGTCCCGGCCGCCTGGCGGGCAGCTCCCCTGACCGCCGCCGCTGCTTCCGCATCGAAACCCGCCCGGCCTGCCCCCCTCTCTTCCACCGGCGCCGTTCGCGATGATCCCGACCGGCTTCTTCTCGAAACCCTGGCGTCCCGCTCCTCCGACGCCTCTTTGTCTCGCAGCCCTTCGGCGACAAGACTTCCCCCTCCCCACTCCACATCGACCCCATCCCCCAACATCCCCACCAACCTCCCGCCTTCAGCGGCAGGGGTGGTGCCGCCTGCGGTCGCTGTGGCAATCGCAGAGGTGGTAGAAGTGTCTTCGCCATCGCCTCCTCGCTCCGGCGCCACTGGTCCGATTGTACCCCCGTCGGCCCGTAGATGGAGAATAACCTCGCGCTGCTGCTGCTGAGGGTCGAACGCCGACAAGGAGCCGTCACCCACGCCATCCTCACCGTTGTCGTCGTTATCGTCGTCGCCGCCGTTGTCGCCAGAGCCTGGCGCAGCCGCTGCTGCTGCTGCCGCCGAACGGTCGTGTCTGTTTAGCTGCTGCTGCTGCTGCTGCTGCTGCTGCTGCTGCTGCTGCTGCACATGGTGGTGAAGATCATGTCGAGCGCTGGGCGCATGGTCGGCCTCCTGGAACGCCTACAATGTAGGGGGGAGGGGCGCGGCGTCAGTTCTTGACAAAACCACAAAAACAAGAACAAAACTACAAGAGAAGACCGACTGGAGAAATGTAACACCACATCGGTGGGCACGAAACTGAGGCAGAAAGCGAACAAAAATTCGGCATTGTCAGTCCTTCCACCCACCCCTTCTACCTACCCGTAAGCCTCCACCTACCCCTCTCGTCCTTGTCCCTTCTTCTTTCCCGCTAAGCCCTGACACGCGCACCTCATCGAGCGGCGTAGTCCTCGCGCTGTTTTCTCGAGCAATCCCCAGCTGCGGTCCGTGTTTCTCCCCCATCCGTTCCTCTCTCCCGCTGGCGTGCCCCGGCCAACGCACCCCGTCAAGAGGCGTGGTCTTGGCGCTGTTCTCTCTAGAGACCTCCGCCTCGTCCGAGGAGGCCAAAGCCTCCCGCTCCCGGCTCAAGAAGGCGGAGCTCTCGCCGCAGTCTTCCTGGCTGAAGGCGAAGTCGGCCGCTATCCTCGGCCACACCGGGGACCTGGGGTCGAAGCTCGCTGACACGCCCACGCACCGCCGGAACGAAGCAACAACACGAGAAACCAGACACACACAGACACGAGAGAAACTTGCCCGTAAGAAAATACAGCTCGAATGTTGTTGTTGTTGTTGTTTTTGTTGTTTTCTTCACGTTAAACTCGTGTCAGTTGCTAAACACTCGGTCCGTGGTCACAGCTGTTCCACGAAAAAATGGGACAGCTCGGGTACACTTGGTGTACAGCAGTGGGGGCCACGCAGCCAATAAAAATGCCAGTGAGAAAATACGGCTCGAACGTTCCATGAAAACATGGGGCAGCTCGTGTACAGTGGGGGCCACTCAGCCAAGGATGTACAGCGCAGCCAACAAAAGCACCGGTAAGAAAAAAGTCTTGAATGTTCCACGGAAAAAATAGGACACAGCTGGTGGGGGCTAAGACCACAGCCGAGGATCCTACGCCAAACTCTGCTTGAAGCATACAATAGCCTGCATTCGACGGTGGCGATGGAGGAAGAAACTCTTCAGCCCCGAATCGAAAGTTGAGGTTTGTTCCTTACCTCCGCCCCCCTGCAACCCTATAGCACTACGAACGAGCGAGTGGGGCCGGTGTGCCGCCTCAAGAGAGACAGCCGTGCCATCACCCAACCCCCTTTGCTCAGAACTGTCGGCTTGGGCTACGAAAGGAACACACCCGGTCTCACGACCACCAAAACCAAGCTCATCGCAGACGAAAACGTCTTACATTCTACAGGAAGAACTCCCCCCCCCATCTCGTCTTAACAGGCTTTCGCCCCCGCGTTTTTCACTTACCCGGAGCGCCACCTTCTGCCGCCCCCGCCCCCCTCTCGCCCGCCCCCGCGCTACCGGCGGAGGTGTCGCTGAAGACGAAGCTGTCCTTACGCCGCGAGGAGGGGCGGCTCTCCACGCTCTCGCCGCCGCCGCCGCCGCCGCCGCCGCCGCCCTCGTTCGCGTCCCCGCACCCCGCAGACTCTCCTCCTCCTCCTCCTCCTCCTTCTCGGCCGTCTTCGTCGTACCCACCGTCGAAAAATTGTCGACGGCTGCGGTTGCTGCTGCTGCTGCGCACGTTACCCCAGCCGCCGCCGCCGCCGCCGCCGCCGCCGCCGCCGCCGCCACCGCTGTCGGCCACCGTCGCCGCCACCGCCGCCTCCACTCCCCCCTTGGTTGTCGTCGTCCCGTGAGCGATGTCCAGCGGCCTGCCGTCATCGTCGCCTCGTCCAACGGCGGCGGCAGCGGCGGCGGCGGCAGCGGGTTCACCACCTCTCTTCCCTTCTTCCTCTTGTCCGGCTGCCGCGTCGTACTTCTCTCCCTCATCGCTGCCGCCGCCGCCGCCGCCGCCGCCGCCCCCACCCCCGCCCCCGTCGCCACCGGTGCTGCTGCTGAACGACTCGCTTCTCCACGCCTCCGGCTGGTTCCCGTTGAGCGCGAACCCGCCGTTCTCTAGCAGGGCCACAGCATCCTCGAGGTCCCGCTCGTAGAGATCCCCCTCCCCGTAACCGCCATCGTCATCTCCGGCTCGTTCGCTTTCTCTGCCCCCCCCCACCCCATCGGCAACCTCATCGTCCC